TGAAGGCGAAAGGGGGGTCAAACACCATATTAGTATGGTGTTCCTAATAATCCTTTAGGTGAGTGTAGTTTAAGCCTTAAATCGTAGGGCTTAAAACAAAATGAAAAGTTCACAAAAAGTTTGCTCACAACAATCGGACCACAAGCAAGGTATGCGATACGCAGAGAGCTGTGATGCGTCGGGGAAAAATCTGTGATATATCGGGGGCGCAAAGGTTGTACTGCGATATAGCGGGGGATCACTGTACAGTGCTAATAGATTTCAAAACGGCTGTCAATTTCTCTTAACATTGTTCCTAGCCCCTTTCAACTAATAATACAAAAACTAAACAAAAGTCTGAAATAAAAACTGGTTTAAGAATTCACTTAGAATGAATAACAATTGCATCCATGGAAAACTGAAGCTGCCGCAGTACACAGAAACAGCATACACAGTAGAACATCAGCTGTGTAGAGCAAATGCAAATGAAGAACATGATGTAATGGTGTGGCGTCCCTGGCTGGAACAAAAAGCTGTGATCATTCTAACCTCGCCTGTATCTGTGTCTCTCTCAGATCCCAGCCCTCACCCTGAAACCTGTCCTGCTCTTCATAAAGCTTAGCTAATACTCTCACTGTTTTATGAATGAAAAATAATCAGTTTAAAAGCCAATCCATATAAAGAAATAGGGATATAGACCTAAGTTATACATATATATTATTATGTACTATATATTAATACACCCAATTATTGCAGACAAACATATATACATACTGTACATGTAGTAAAGCCTTGTAAAGGTATTATAAGTAAATCTATCCAATAACAATAAAAATATGCGAGGCTATACAGAAGGGAAAATAAAATTGCTTTGTTAAGTTAAATAAACCAAGATGTTTCTGGCAAAAACAATGAAGCAATGTCTATGTTGATGAATCCACCAATGGATGTATCTATTGATGCGGCATACCCTGCCCGCTCCTTCAGTTTCATATCAGTGATGCCATCTTTGGACACAAGTTTGTTAAAAACCAGAATCCCAATAACCATGTTAACCTGTTAAAGAGAAGAACAAAAGTTTGAAGAAACAGAAACACAAATGTAAATTTGTGCCTATGATAATTTTTCATGCTCTGTCAACCCTCAGGCAAAACTTTGTGGCGCATCATATTTTCTCATAAGACAAGAAATTACTGGTATGAAATGACCTGAGATTTACTTATAGTTTGTCAGGTGATGACTTAACGGATGCCAAAATGGCATGTGCTCAGACACAGTATCTGCAGAGGTATTCTGTCATGTATGTTGCACACAGTAAGTCAGAATAACAAGCACTATCAAATTATCAAATCAGGGCAAGACTATAGGTCAAAGACACTACATTCTCTTCTGCCAGTCTGTAAAACTAGAAAATTGCTATAAAATGAAGTAAAGAAAAAAATACCAGTACTACAGCAGCTGCGGGTCCCACAAATGCATAGAGGAGCCCTCCTTCCAGAGAAAGCCAGCAGCTGTGATAAACAGAGAGAAAACAGAGAAAAGCAGAACAGGTATAGAGAGGTACAAAGATACGGGAATCTTTCCATTGAGCATGCCCATGCACTCCAAGAATTCTCCTGTAATTTGAATTCACTTGGTTATACCGTCAGAAAAAAATGGTAAAAATGTGTACCTTTGCTTGTCACTAGGGCTTCACCTTTGTAATTGTACCTTTTAAGGTACAGAAATGGACATCCCACTGGTTCAGACTGCATTAATGTATCATGTATGGTATAGAAATAGTCCTCAGAGTCCATTTCTGTACCTTAAAAGGTACAATTACCTACAGCTTAGGGTACAATTGGCAGACCCTTGAGGATACAGCCCCAGTGACAAGCAAAGGTACAAATTTTTAACCTTTTTTTTGAGAATGTATTTTACTTCTGAGATTCTTTTCTTAGAGTCACAGAGTTTGGCAAAAATAGCCCTGACTTGACACTTACTAGTTGAGAGTGCCATATCCCTTGGCCTTAGTGAAGCCCACGGAGACAGCAACTACCAAAGCAGGCAAACCTGTGGATGGGGGAGATACAGTATCAAAACTGGGAATGGCAGCAAGACTAAGCAAGGGGAGAGTTGGGGGGGGGGGGTACTTGCTCAAATCAAAAACAAAAGCAAAAAAGTTAGGCAAGACAGCCAAGAACAGAGACAAGATCCATCCAGAAAGAGCAAGGTTTATACCCAGATCCAAGCAGGCAGACAAAATAGGTGAAGGGTGAGCTCAGCACTGAAGAGTGTGGAAGAAAGAAAGTTGGAAGAATCGCAAAGAGAATCACTCACCCCAGCCCAAGCACAGGAAACGCTTCCGGATTATTCTGTTTCGAAGGCGTCCCATAACAGCCATGTAGGACTGCCATGCCTCTGTGAGCACCCAGCAGAAGGAGGACAGGAAGAAGAAGTGAAGAAAGGCAGCGACCAGTGTGCAGACCACCTGAGAGATGAAGAGAGAGCGTTAAGGAAAGGAGACAGCTAAAGGTTCAATTGCCAGCACTCACTCAGGAATGGGAAGAGGGAATGGTGGGATGCGGAAAGAGAGACTGGTTAACAGCACGGTAGGGTGCACCTTGTTTCGCGTTTGGGTCTGCCCAATCAGAATGAGGGCATTGGAGGAGATGATGGAGAGGCAGAAGTTGATCAGGATGACGGAGCGCTCAGAGCGGATGTACCTGCAGAAGGAGGAGAATGCTATGTGGCAGGAGCTATTCAACTTAAACTGAAGGAATGTTTGCTGAGTTAGTAGCTTTAGTATGCAGTTAAATATGGATATAATTGCATTTATTTGTACTGAAAGTGACTATCATAACTGTGCATCAAAAATAAGTAATGAAAAATGTTAGTAAACCCACTTGAGTTCAAAAACCTTAGCTGCCTCTCCATGTCACTCAAAGGATAACCTAAAATGAAATACCACTTCCCTGTTGTATGTGTAAACATTGGCATATAGCACTGTATTTACTATCTATACAGTGGAGCAGTCTATGAGTCTGTGAAGATTGTCACAGCCTTCATTTCCCGGGTATCTCTTTTATTGACCTAGTGTAGGTTTTGCTGTCATTTTATGTATTATTGTCACCCATTGCAGACTATCACGCCTCTATTGTCATTTGTCTTTTACCTCCAAACGGAAACATAAATGATGATTAGAAGCAGCAACGTCAGTGAGGAAACCCCACAGCCCACAATGAGCGTCACAGAGGGCACTAGCGTCTTGTCCATGTTCTGGAACACAGGACAGGGGTACGTCAGTCGCAAAGAGATACAAGGCCAAGCATGTATACAGAAGCACAACATCCCATAGTGTATAATAAAGTCACAAATACAAAAATAAATGCAATACAGAAGAAAAATGAATGGTATGTCAGTCTGTGCTTAACCTCAGATTCCAGCAGTTAAATTATACCATTCTAATTATATTCCCCTCTTCATACTGGACACACCTCTCCATCCTGAAGCGGTTCTTAGTTGGTTGTCATGGTGAGGTATTAAAATGGATAGAGCAGCAGGGCATCTGCCTGCAGCTCTAATTACCAATTAAAAATGCTTGCCTGCAATAACATGTTGTGTGGATATATGTGCAATCACATGTTTGAATTACAGTTGGCAATACATTAACTGAATAACCATTTTATGTGCATGTGTCTGTGCCACTGTTATTTGCTACTGGCATGTGCAAGCCTGTTTTTATGTTAGCTGAGTGTGGATGATAATTACAAATGCAGGTGGTCTTAAATTCTGTACCATGCCGATCAAGCAGTACATCCCAACCCACTATCAGCCCCATCCATTCCAGCAAATTGGACAGATATTAACCATTCCTGTTGTCATGAAAAGCGGCTGCCCAGCAGGAGGCAGAGGGGGTGCCATCCTGTAGAGCCACTAGAGGGTGCAATGGGGAGGGGGGTACAAAAGGAATAATGGTGAATTCACCATTAAAGACAGATTCCTTGCAGTGCCCTGCCCACCCATGCAGAGAAGATAATTGGCAAAAGTTTATAGTCTGTCTAGGACAGGTTTAATGCTTGTACTGGCCAACTTAATTAAATGCTTTTCATTAATCTGAAATGCAGTGAGTCTCTTTAAAAACAAGGAAAATACCCAGAAGATGCATATTCCTTGCAGTTATTTTCCAGAGAAATGGGAACCTATTGGGTTTTGTTTTCCACAGAGGTGGAAAAAGGTTTGAGAATGGTTTTCACAAAGTCTGCTGCTTCAGTTTTTATGATGGCAATTTGCATTTACTCCAGAATGTTGTGAAGAGTGATCAGGTGAATTTCAATTAATTGCAAAGTCCTTCTTTGCCATGAACATAAACTTAATCCCAAAAAAAACATTTCTGCTGTGTTTCAGCCCTACCACAAAAAGACCTGCTGACATCATTTCAGTGATTCTCTCATTAACATAGGTGATAATGTTGACGAGGACAAGGCTGGAGATCACTCTGTCATGCTGATTGAGTTAGAATAAGAGAGTGGATGTTTTAATAGGAGGGTGGTGCTTGAAATCACTGTTATTTCTCTGGTAACCATGGTTACCTGCAAGGAAACATGTGAGGTCATCATTGCGTTGCACAAAAAGGGCTTCACAAGCAAGGATATTGCTGCTAGTAAGACTGCACCTAAATGAATAATTTATTGGATCATCAAGAACTTCAAGGAGAGAGGGTCAATTGTTTTGAAGAAGGCTTCATGGTACCCAAGAAGTACCAGCAAGTGCCAGGACCGTCTCCTAAAGTTGATTCAGCTGCAGGATCAGGGCACCACCAGTGCAGATCTTGCAGCAGGCAGGTGTGAGTGCATCTGCATGCACAGTGAGGCAAAGACTTTTGGAGGATGGCCTGGTGTCAAGAAGGGCAGCAAAGAAGCCATTTCTCTCCAAGGGAAACATCAAGGACAGACTGTTTTTCTGCAAAAGGTACAGGGATTGGACTGCTGACGACTGGGGTAAAGTAATGTTCTCTGATGAATCCACTTTCCAATCATTTGGGGAAAGAGAAAAAGATTGTCTGGAGAAGAAAAGCTGAGTGCTACCATCAGTCCTGTGTCATGCCAACAGTAAAGCATCATTCATGAGACCATTCATGTGTGGGGTTGCTCCTCAGCTAAGGGAATGAGCTCACTTTGCCTAAGAACACAGCCATGAATAAATAATGGAACCAAAACATCCTCCAAAAGCAACTTCTCCAGACCCTCCAAGAACAGTTTGGTGATGAACAATGCCTTTCCAGCATGATGGAGCACCGTGCCATAAGGCAAAAGTGATAACTAAGTGGCTCGGGGAATAAAACATCGACATTTTGGGTCTATGGCCAGGAAACTCCCCAGACCTTAATCCCATTGAGAACTTGTGGTCAATCCTCAAGAGGCGGGTGGACAAACAAAAATCCACAAATTCAAGCACTGATTATGCAAGAATTAGCTTCCATAAGTCAGGATTTGGCCCAAAAGTTGATTGACAGCATGCCAGGGTGAATTGCAGAGGTCTAGAAAAAGAAGGGCCAACACTGCAAATATTGACTCATTGCATAAACTTCATGTTATTGTCAATAAAAGCCTTTGGCACTTATGAAATGCTTGTAATTATATTTAAGTATACCATATAAAAATTTGACAAAAAAAATCTACAAACACTGAACCAGCAAATTTTGTGAAAACCACTACATAAGAACATAAGAAATTTACAAACGAGAGGAGGCCATTCGGCCCATCAAGCTCATTTGGGGAGAACTTGACTAATAGCTCAGAATTGTCAAAATGTCATCTAGCTCTTATTTGTGTATTTCTCAAATCAATGGATGTCTATATATAAAATCTCATGAACAGAACTTATTTTGCTGATTCTGTCTTGTTGTGGGGTCATTTCGTCATGTCAGGCCTTGGCATAGTTGGAATCTGAATATCTATCACGAGGGCTGCTTGCCTGTGCCAAGATCCAACACACAGAAGCCTCCAGTCTGTTTGGTTCAGGATGAAGAGCATGGATTGCAGCACAACCCCCCACCCCATTTTTGCCTTTCTACATATAAGCACCATAGAACAAGATTGCACTGCTACACGAGTCAGGGTATGCAACACACTCCCTGGAGCACAGTCTGGTCCCCAGAGAATCAGCACTCCTTGTGAGCTCAGCAGTGTGAGGATGTCTTTACCTGTGCTTTTTGACAGATTCTGATGAGTAATTCTTACTAAAAACCATATCTCTGGTAAGTAGAAAACAGCACCACACTGAAGCTTATTGAAGATTCATTATTCTCATTTTTTTCCACCCAAGCTAAGTCTCTTGTCAGTTATGCCATGAAAATCTCAGTTTGCTGGCAACTGGAAGCCTGTCTAACAAAGCTGTACCTCTGGGACTGCCTGAGCAGACCAGATAAGCATTCATCTGTCCTTGAGTGTCCAGACAGGAGAGGGGCCAGGAAGATACTGGGTGATCCATTGTGAAGAGGGCGGAGCCAAGACAGGAAACTGAAGGTCAGCTGTGTCCATCTGTGCCTCCTCAGCAGTGTTTTAATACTTCATAACGTGGAGCTTACATGTGAAATGACTGCAGTGTTTTTTTCTTTTCTTTTCATTCTTTGGCAAATTGGTATTGAATACGTCCACACGGCGTGCCAAAAAACACTATTTGTAGTGTGGTGAGAGAGATAGGGTGAGGGAGAGTGAATGAGAACATTTTGCTGTGCACCCAGACAGCCTCCTCTAAACTGACCAGCCTCTTTGTTATTCTGCAGTCGTGCAAGACTAGCTACAGGCAGTGATGTTGCGGAATGGGGAATTTACAAGCAAATTGGCATGACTTGCTGAAGGTATATGTGCTGTTGTGACTTCCTGCTCCTCAGAAACATTCATAAGGTTGGGATTCTTTTATGAGACCAAGGAAAAGTGAATTAGTCACACAAATATGCGCCAAGTAGTCCAAGGAGGAGATAAAGTGCTGCATAAAAACAAAACGAAAACCAAGGTAAAGAAGGTGTTCTGGGATACATCACAACTACCGTCCAGTGAATAGGGTGTTTGTTTCATAGCATATATTCAGTCTACTTACAAAAAAAGATACATCTAAATACATCCTGCACTGGACTCCCCTCCCTCCCTGTCTTATAGGAAAGCAATTTCACCACTAATTAAATGCATGGCATGTAGCAAAATTAAAGCAACATATATACACTGAAACTTTTTCAAGGCATGATTAGTATCTGATTCTGAACAACTGCTTTCTTCCACATTTCCCCAACACACACAAAACATATGTAGACATAGCTATCTAAATGGGGACCTTCAATTAATTTCTATGGGAAAATCCCTAATCCCAATCATGACACCCTTAACCTTTACCCAACCCTAATCTTAACCATAAATTACAAAACAAAATACAAGCCTTTTGGAATTTTTACTTTTTTATTGCATTCACAGATCTCTTTGGGGACCTGAAAAATGGTTCCCACAACATTTGGTCCTCACAATGTAATGTAAACCTAATCCACACACACAAACACACACACACAAACATTTATTTCAGCTGGTTGTGTTTACTGCAGCATACACACACACACACTCAAAAACATAAATATACAAAAAAAAACTGCTTCTCTTTTGAGAGATAAGTCAAAAAAGGGCAGTTTATAGGGACGTTTCATTTCTACTACTGTTTTTATCGTTGTTGCTCTACAGGCCACACAAAAGGTCCGTTTCAGCTTTTTCCACAGCTTCTACAGCTCCAGGCTAGCCACTGTTGCCAGGGCAACTGCTGAGCAAAATGTTTTAGAGGGAGTTTCCGGGCTAAGAATAACTAATCTCTTTGAAGGAAATTTTAAACACCTTAAAAATCTGAAACCTATCACAGCTGAAACCATTACATTTTTCATTACAATTTAATTTCAAATAATCAATTTGTATTCATTAAACTGAATATTGTGCATGTATACCTCAGAGCACAATAATAAGATCTGAAAGTTTGATGCATTTCGTATCTGCAACATTTAAGAGACGTCTAATAATTTATTTTACATTTTTCAAAACGACAAGAACCGAATTATTTCAGCATTGCACACATGTGTAAAACCTTTGTCTGTTTTTCTATTCACGTAAATTAATACTATAATATATGTTATATGTATAATGTGTTATAATATTATAATATTCCACAAATTGTTAAGGTTTTAAAACACTCTGTCAGCATCTGTTGTAATTTATGCAATATAGCAAACGGAGACGGAGTATGCTTACTACAAAACACAAATTGGGTTAATACTTTATCTCCACAAACAACCGATAAAATATATAAAACAAACAAAAAATAATAATAGCACTTGTTCGCAATAGTGCTTGGCTGCACTAAATGAAGCACGAAACGATGTTCCGCTATTTTCACGAGCACACAATCCCCCGGCAAAGTAATCGAGGTACCTCACTGCATGGCCGTACAGCGAGAGAGAGAGGAGGGAGCGTCACACGGATCTGTTGATACGGAATGACAATGACGTTTTTCTATGCTTTTTACATTACCATCACGAAAAATAAACATTTCGGATACTTTTAGTCATAGGAACAATAACATGCAAGTGGCCGACTTACCATGTCGGGATTTAGACGTGCTAAAATGGCGAAGGTGGAGAGCCTGTCACATATACATTTTGTTCTGAACGAATCGACGGGCACCGTCCTACAGCCTCGTGCAGACCAGGATCCAAGCAATGAAAATCTGCGAGGGGGAGAGGGAGGACAGCGGAATGTTAAAAAATAAAGAAAATCCCCGTTCGATTGTACGCTGCATATGAGACAGCTCGTAAAAACGATGGAAACAGTGATGCGGAGAACCAGTGGCAGCACGCACTACAGGTTTCTACATGGCCAGGTGCTACAGAGTGCAACAGAAATTTGCAGTCAAAATTGCCCATTTATTTTTTGCAACAACAAAACAACTATAATAATCCATCTATCCATCGTTTTGCCATTTATCTTGGTCAAAGTCATAGGAAATTGCAAGAAATTATTAGTATTATCATAACGGTTATTATTATTATTATTAGTAGTAGTAGTAGTAGTCGTAGTAATAATAGTAATAGTAGTATCTTCATCAAAACAACAATAATTATTATTGTTATATATATATATATATATATATATATATAATTACTGATCAATTATATACTATTCAAACACGTCACCTGATTTTGTTAGATATTCTAATAAAAAAATCCCATCTTTTGTTCATACAGTATAGCAACCTATAGAGATGCCATTCTACTGTATATATGGTAAACAACAAGCTTGTACAATACAGATGGACCATTTTCTGATTCCCACTGAAGTGGGCCCTCTTTTTTAAAAACAATCTCTCCAACATTGAACATGAATCACTATCATAAAAAATGTCACATCAGCAAACCAAATGCAAAAGAATATAAAATACATGCAGGCCCAGACTATTTTACATAGAACCTGTTGTTTTAAATAAGCAATGCCTGTGTACATGATTGTCTTAACTATTAGTTTCTCTTTTCCATATGACTATTTATCTCGCTATACTGTGATTCACAGCAATCGGAAAAATCACTGATAGTAAAATCCTTCTGCGTACATTTTTTCTGTTCTTAGTGTCCGTTAATTTTAAGATGGCTGAAGTAATGTAGGTATATCAATGTATTTGGGAAATCTGTCTGCTAAGAATCAAGTGATGATTCACACTTGATACCTTGGTATTATGTTGGTAATTCTGCTGGATTTGGACAAGCTGAGAGATGCTAAGGATACTGACCATATGTCACGCCCAGCTCGTCCAATCCTCGTGTGTGCCATGCCCCCCTCGTTACCTCGTGTTAATTCCCGATTGTATTCATCTGTTGCCTGTTATATTCAACTTGTTCCGTGTATTTAGTCCGCGTCTGAGTCAGTATTCCCCAGATCGGTCATTGATGTTCGTCGCTGTCAACCTCGTTTGTGCCAATAAACCCCTATTACCGACTTCACGGCTTTGCTGCCTTACTGCCCGCTGGGCGATCTTAACAGAATGACCAATCTCCCCGAAAACGGTGGACTGAGAGCCAGTGCCTCGGTCTCCTGCAAGATGTGTTATCCTGGCTGAACCAGCCCGAGGTCTGGGAGGACCCAGTGGCGCTGGATTTGGCCAGCTGGAGCGCCGACCTTCTGACGGAGAAGTCCCCGCCCGAAGACATGAGCCGCATGGCAGAGGTGCATGAAAACCTCCGGAGGCTCGTGCTGCGTGTGACCCAGCCTGTCACGCTGCCCCAGGCAGAGCCAAACCGAGCAGCCATTCCTCCATCCGGAGATAGTCCTTCCTCCACCGACAGCCACCCGCAAGAGGAGAAAGAAGAAGCCGAAGGAGAGAAGAGCAGAGGAGGTCCCAATGATCACCCTGGGAACATGCTCCCTCTCAGCCGCTTCTCTCTCTGCCGACTATCGGGAGGAGCCCCTCCCGATCCGGGAACCGGCAGTGATCACCCGGGATGGCACCACTGCATTGCCCCCTCAGGTACCCAAAGCCCACATTACGGCCACTGAACTGGCCCCACTAGCAGCCTACCATTTCCGAGTGGCGTGTCTGGTGAATAGGGGAGCCAGGGCCATGTGGGACGCTATCCGGCGGACTACAAGGTATCTTAAAGGGGCAGCACCGTCTTTAACAGCACCAACCCTGGCGGCCATAGTGGACGTTCCTGACCTGCCCGTCGTCCCTGTCCTGCCTGACTCGCCAGCACCCCCTGCTGGCCATGAGTTGGCGGTGCCCGCTGTTGCCGCTACGCCTGCCGTCTCACCTGTCCTGCCCGTCCCAACTGATTCGCCAGCGCCACCTGTCCTGCATGTCCTGCTTGTTCCGGCGGCAGCCGCAACCCCAATGAGACTGTGGCTGCTGCGGTGCCCCCTGCTGGCCACACGCCTGAGGTTCCTGCTGCGGCGCCTTCTGAGGTGCCCCCTGCTGGCCACGTGCCCGAGGGTCCTGCTGCACCGCCTGCCGCTACACCCGAGGTACCGCCGCCGCCTCCGCCTGCCGCTACGCCCGGGGCTCCGGCACCAGCCCCGCTTCTGGCTGCGCCCGAGGCTCCTGCTGCGGGCCCGTCCGTCCTGCCCATCTTGCCGGCCCCGCCAGTCCTGCCCGCAGCAGAAACGCCCGCTGTCCCTGCTCCGCCCATCTCTGCTCCTAGGCCTCCGCCTCCTGCTCTGCCCGAGGCTCGTAGGCCCCCGCCTCCTGCTGCTTCGCCAAAGGCCCCGGCTCGGCCTACCCCAGAACTCTCTATCCCCGAGGAGGTCCCGGACTGTATTACCATTGCTCCTCCTCCCTTGATGGAGGGAGAGGAGGAGCTCGAATGGGATCCCTCGGGGATCTACCTACTGGGCCCCAGGGACTCAGGTGGTGGAAGAACTCCTCCACCATCCCACCGACGTGGTGGAGCCCGAGCGGGTCCCCGCCTATCAGTGTCCCAAAAAGGGAGAGGACATAAGCGCAGGGACTGGGTCCCACCCGCCCTGCCCCCTGGCTCGCCCTTGCTCTCCCCAGCTGTGACTCGGCGGCTACCTGTGGGTCCTTCGGCTCCAGTCCAGCCGTCGCCTGCGGGTCCCCCTCCGGGGACTCGTCACCCGCTTGCGGACCCCCCTCCGGCGCCTCGTTGGCCGCCTGTGGGTCCCCCTGCCTTGGCTCATCGGCCGCCTGCGGGTCCTCCCGCTGTGGCTCGGCGTCGGACAGCGCCTGTGGGTCCCCTTGCCTTGGCTCATCGGCCGCCTGCGGGTCCTCCCGCTGTGGCTCGGCGTCGGACAGCGCCTTCCCCGGCTCTGGCTCCCACGTCGCCTGCTGCGGCTTCCCCCTCCTTCTCACCTGCTCCAGGGTCCCCTCCGCCTTCCTCTTCCCCTCTCCCGGTGTCCCCTCCGTCTTCATCCTCGTTTCCTCCGTTTCTCCCTCAGCCTGTCTCCTCCTCCCCTGTGTGGTCCCCTCCGGCTCCGGCCTCCCATCCGCCTATGGCCCCTGTGGCTGCCTTCCCTCGCCCGCCTGGGTTCTCTCGGGCTCCCCGTTGTCCTCCTCCCTTTGTTCCGCCTCCTTCCTTCGTCCCTCCTGTTTTTGCTCCTCGTCCCTCTGTGTCTCCTCTGTTCACTCCTGGTCCCTTTGTTCCCCCGTTCTTTGTGCCCTCCATGTGTCCTTTCCTGGTCTGCTTGTCTGCATTCCCTGTTTTGTGTCAGGTCTTGTCCTACTTCCTGTCCCTGTGCTTGTTCTGTGTTTCTGTTCTGTTCCCAGTCCCTTGTTGATGTTTTTCGCTCTTGTTTTCCAGGTCCTGTTTCCCCGGTCTCGTCTCGTCCGCGCCTTTGGGGGGGGGGGGGTTCTGTCATGCCCGGCTTGTCCGATCCTCGTGTGTGCCACGCCCACCTCGTTACCTCCTGTTAATTCCCAATTGTATTCACCTGTTGCCTGTTTATCCAATGCCTTTGGAGCTCTTGAGGTCTCCTTCAAGGGCCCAACAGTGATATAATTACTCTACCATCCATGCGATTCAAACCAGCACCCTTCCAGACACCAGAACAGATTTCTAACCCACAGAAACATGTGCATTGCACATTTTAGAAATAGTTTTCTGCAGTTTTTAGTGTTACTTAAAACATACTATAGTATGCCACAAAATTTAGATATACTTCTAAACATTTAACATATAATATTGAAATATTAAGAGGGATGGCATGGTGGTGCTTTGGTTAGCACTGCTGCCTCACACCTCTGGGATCTGGGCTCGAGTCTCTGCCTGGGTTACATGTGTGTGGAGTTTGCATGTTCTCCCCATGTTGTTGTGGGGTTTCCTCCAGGTTCCCCCCACAGTCCAAAGACATGCTGAGGCTAATTGGAGTTGCTAAATTGCTCATAGGTGTGCATGTGTGAGTGAATGTCTTGTGTGTGTGCCTTGAGATGGGCTGGCTCTCCATCCTGGGTTGTGCCCGTAGATTCCAGGATAGGCTCCAGACCCCCCATAACCCAGAAGGATAAGTGGATTGGAAGATGGATGGATATTAAGTAAAATACAATATTCACATTTTCAAATATGAAATAATGGAAATATATAGAAACTGATATATTATGGATAACTATTGATCGATAATGTCAATCATAGCCTATCCTAGGAAACAGAGGACATAAGGCAGGGTGCACACTGTTACTGTCACCTGAATTATCTGTCTTTGAATAATCTGCGGAAACCTGGTAGAACATACAGTTACTGCACCTGAAATGCTGGACTGGATCCAAGGCACAAAGACTCCCCGCTAAGTCATCATGCTGTCTTTTAAATGATTTGTTTTGAAACTATTTTGTTCTCAAGAATCTATCTATTGTGCAAAAAGGTGACTAATATGGAGAGCACATATATAGATAGTGAAGTTAAAATTATGAAGACATGCTTTGAAAAATGTCTTGGAGTTTTAAATATTCACCCTTGCTTGTGCTACCTTGCCATTTAACAACAAAAAAAATCCATTGAAGTTACAATATGATACCTCCCCACCTATGGGAAATATTCATAAGCCAGTAGCATTGCAGTAGTATGATTCCTATCACAGGATATCATGCAACGTTATTGCTGTGGTCATCAACTATAATAAGCAGAAGCAGCTTATCACATACATTGCATTGATTACTGCATTTTAGGCTCAGGTTTCCAAGGTTAGCACAATGTCGTGCTGACTCTGATCCCTGTGGAAGACATCACATTCAACGTGCTGGAGATCCTGACTGTGAGAAGGTCAGCGCCATCCTTGGCAGCTGGTGCAGAGGATGTGGCTCATGTGAGTGGCTAGCAAGTTATGTGTAAAACCTTGCTTATAAAAAAAAAAATCAATGAAATTCACA